ATATTATTGTAGAATGGAGTAGAGAACTATAGGAAGTACAAAATGAGAGTTATCCTTGGCCATCTCTTCAATCCCCCCTTTCTTCCCAAACATGACCACAGCCAACAGATATTTTAAATGTACTTGCGAACATACAGATGTGTATATTCAAAGATTATAGTTCTTGTTTTGTTATCTTTTCCATAAATGGGATCATCCTATGTGTGTTATTCTGTAACTTGCTCTTTATCGCATGTTGTCTTGGGGAGCTTTCCGTGACAGAACATGCAGGCCCACTGCATTCTTTTGGTGGGTGTGGTAAAATATGAGTGTACATAACACAAACATTACCATTTGAACCATTTTTAACTGCACGATTCAGCAGCATTAATTACATTTCCAGTGTTGTGCAACCATCACCACTGTTTATTTCCAAAATGTTTTCATTTCCCCAAACATAATCTCTGGAACTGTTACCCAGCTACTTTCGCTTCCCCTCCAGCCAGCGCATGGACCCTCCAATTCATTCCCTGTCTTCATGAACTTGCCTATTTTAAATATTACATGTTAGTGGAATCATACAGTATTTGTCCTTTCGCGTCTGGCTTGTTTCATTTAGCGTAATGTCTTCAAGGTTCATTCATGTCGCAGCCTGTGTCAGAACACTACATTCTTTTTCATCACTATATATTCAGTGTGTGAATACAGCATAGTTTCTGCAAAAACATATATACACACTTCCCATATTATAAAATTTGCCCAACTTTTCTCTATCACCAACATGCTGCAGTAAGCATCTTGGCGCACGTGTGAGAACATTTTCTAGAATCAGTTCCTACAAGAGGAACTCCTACCTCACAGAATTTATGCATTTAAAATTTTGATATTGTCCAATCACCCTCTGAAAATGCAGTACCAATAGACACTACCACCCACAGTGTCTTACAGGCTCCGATGTGACCCATCAGTTAAAATTCTCCCAGTCTGATGGCCAGAAAGTGTTTTCTGATTATACCACTTGCTTCTTTGGTTGGGAGGCCCAGTGTTACACATCGTGGGCCCTTGCAAATCTTTGGCCCATTGTTAAGTGGGATGATTTCTTTTTTAAAACTAGGTGTTATGAATAATAAGCCTGTGTAGTCTGTAACCTGTCATGTAGCTTTGTTTACACTGCCTTCCTCTTAGGAAGTTTCATTTTTTATGTGGTTAAATCTACCATGGCTCCCTTCTTGCTCTCTGAATTTTGGGTTCCTCCTACAGAGGTCTTCTAATTTCAAATTAAAAAAAAATTGGGGAATTTCCAGTCGAGATGGCAGCGTAGGCAGACATGGCCTGCCTCTTCACACAAGCACATGAAAATTACAACTAAAATATAGAGCAACCATCACTCAGAACTGTCAAAAATTGAGTTGAATGGAAGTGTATCAACTACAGAATTAAAAAACCACATCCATCCAGGCTGTTAGGAGGGGCGCAGGGCGGAATGTGTTGGTTACTCACCCACATGTGGTGGATAAAAATTCGGGAGGGATATCTCAGCAGCGAGCAGTCCCAGACTCACGCCAGGCCCCCCAGCCCAGGGTTCCAGTGCCAGGAAGATAAGTCCCCACAACTTCTGGCTGCAAAAATCAGCAGGGATTGAGTTAGAAGAAACTTCTGGAGCTCCAAGCAGTTCCACTTAAAGAACCCACACACAGACTCACCTACTCAGATTCACTCCCTCTGAGCTCCAGCACTAGGGTAGCAGCTTGAAAGGTACCCATGGCATAATGGGAGAGGCTGAAGTGTCTGGCATTGGGGCAAGCAGAGGCCATTGTCCCTTTTCTAAACCCTTTCCCAACAGAGCCAGCAAGTTGGTGCCATATCTGAGACTCTGTCAACCTGACTAACACTCTTTGCCCCACCTTGGAGATCCCCAGAGACTCTGCCTCACCCAACTAACAGGCACACCCAAGCTACTTTTCCATATGAATGGCTGGTCTTGGCTCAGGTTTCACAGTTTCTCAAATCCTCTCAAACAAGCAACAGCTGGCCTCAGTGAGCCCCAGGCCCAGCACTAGCAGCAGCCAGCCTAGATTCACAGCTTGGCTTCCCAGGGGAATCTCCAACCCCAGCACAAGTAGCAGCCATCTCAGAGTGCTTTATAGCTCAGGCAGGGTGGCCTGGGGCAAAAACAGGTGGGGGCTAGCCTTGGCCTGCACCACCCAGGAAACCCCAGGGCCAGTGCACCCAGTGAAGAGCAGATGACGTCAGAGCAGCACCACCCTGCTCCCACGCAGCTGATCCTCCACAGAGGGCAGAGGTTGGTGGTCAGTGATCAGAGCCAGTCCTTGCAGCTGACTGGCCTGGGTAAATCCCTCCCATTGATCTGCCAACAGCAACCAAGGCTCAACTACAAGAGAAGGGTATACTCCGCCCACACAAAAGGTGCACTTCGAGTACCCACGTTGGGTGATAGGGGAGGCTGTGCCATTGGACCCTACAGGACACCTACTACATTAGGCCACACGACCAAGACACGGAGTCAAAGCAGCTCTACCTACTACATAGAAACAAATACAGGGAAGCTGCCAAAATAAAGAGACAAAAGAATCATAGCTCAAGTGAAAGAACAGATCAGAACTCCTGAAAAAGAGCTAAATGAAATGGAGATAAGCAATCTATCAGATGCAGAGTTCAAAACACTGGTAACAGGGATGCTCAAGGTACTTAGTGAGGAATTCAACAGAATAAAAAAGATCTAGTCAGAAATGAATGATACATTAATTGAAATAAAGAACAATTTACAGGAAAACAACAGGAGAATGGATGAGGCCAAGAATCAAACCAATGATTTGGAACATAAGGAAGCAAAAACAACCTATCAGAATGAGAAGAAAAAAGAATCCAAAACAATGAGGACAGTATAAGCAGCCTCAACTTCAAGAGGCTCAACACTTGCATTATAGGGGTGCCAGAAGGAGAAGAGAAAGAGCAAGAAATTGGAAAACGATTTGAAAAAATAACGAAAGAGAATATCCCTAGGTTGGTGAAGGAAATAGACATGCAAGTCCAGGAAGCACAGATAATGCCAAACAAGATGGATCAAAGAGGCCCAGTCTAAGACACATAGTAATTGAAATGCCAAAGGTTAAAGATGAAGAGAGAACCTTAAAAACAGCAAGAGAAAAGAAGTTAGTTACCCACAGGGGAGCCCCCATAAGACTGTCAGCTGATCTCGCCAGAGAAACTTTGCAGGCAAGTAGGGATTGGCAAGACATATTCAAAGTCATGAAAAGCAGGGACCTTACAGCCAAGATCGCTGTACCCAGCAAAACTATGATTTAGAATCCAACGGCCGATAAAGAGCTTCCCAGAGAAGAAAAAACTAAAGGAATTCATCAACATCATACCATTATTATACGAAATATTAAAGGGATTTATTTAAGAAAAAGAATATCAAAACTATGAATAATAAAAGGGCAAAAATATGTATCAATAAACAATTGAATCTAAAAAAACAAACTAAGCAAACAAGAAGAATAGAGACAGAATCATGGATACTAAGAGCATTTTGATGGTTGCCAGATGGGAAGGGGTTGTGGGGGAATGGTAAAGAGGCGAGAGGATTAAGAAGTACAAATAGGTAGTCACAGAATAGCCATGGGGATGTTAAGTACAGTGTAGGAAATGGAGTAGCCGAAGAACACATGACCCGTGGACATGAACACCAGTGGGGGGGACTGCCTGAGGGAGTGGGCGGTGCTGCGTAGAGGTGGACAAAGGAGGAAAAATCAGGACAATTATAATAACATAATAAAATATAATAAATTATATTTCATTCTAATAGATTATTTTTTAATGTATGGTGTTTTAATCTGTTTGGAATTTACTTTTGTTTGTTTACTGTATTGTGAAAAACCTCAATCATACACACATATTTAGAAACAAATTCCAGACGTACCATTTCATCTGTAAAAGTTTCAGCACATTATCTCTTTAAGATAAGGACTCACTTTTTAAAAAATAGTATCATCATCACACCTAAGAAAATTAACCATTGTTCCCTAACATGATCGAATATCCAATCACTGGTCACATTTCCAATTGTTATAAATGTCACATCTTATTTGTTTGAATTAGGAGTGAAATAAAGTTTCAAAACGCAGATGTTTGTTGTGTTTCTTAATTGGATCATCACATGTTCCTCTGTCCTCTATATTGAATCTTTTATTTAGATCTAGAGGCTTGATCAGATTCAGGTTCACATCTGCTGGCAAGACCACTTCATAGGTAGGGTTCTGTTCGAATTTATTTTTATATATGGTATAAGGATCTAACGTAAACTTTTCATCAAATACATGGTTAATTGCCTATTGTACCAATACCAGTTATTGAATAGTTCATCCTTTCCCCCTAACAATTTGAAATCCCACCATTATCATACATACATGTATAATCTTTTCTAAACTCTTCATTCTGTGTTGATCATTTAGTCTATGCTGAAGCCACGTGGTTTTAAATCCTGTTGTGTTACAGTTTGTTTGATATCTAGTAAGGCAGCTCATCCTTCACTGATCTTTCTAAAGTAATTTTTGGCTTTTTTGTGCCTATTCTTCCCCATGGTAATGTAATATTTGTTTAATCTACATGTTAAGACTTTCATTTGCATTGTGTCCGATTTATAGTTGGAGACAAATAGCATCTTTACAGCAATGCCAGGTTTTTCTTCCACACATTTGGATTCTTTTTATGTCTTTTAGAATAGTTTAATACTTTTCTTTATCTACATCTTTACAGTTTTTGTTAGGTTTTATTTTTAGATATTTTTCTATTTTGTCCACTGTTTTAAAAAGGACCTTTATTTCTCCATACATGTTCCAATGGTTATGGCTGGTACTTAGAAAAGCTTGAGTTTTTATAAGTTGATCTTGTCCTTGATTGGCTGCCTTGCTTTTAGACGTCCTAATAGTTTTTTTTCATGTTGATTATTCTGGATTCCTAGTGGCACTCTTATCACCTGCATCTGGTTTTCTCTTTAGGCTCATGCAGAAGCAAGTAAAACCTGGCTGACAGGGAAATTCACTGAACTCAGATTACTACTTGAAGAAGAGGAAGTGCTGGCTAAGAAACTCATCGACAAAAATACCCAGCTTGCCCTCCAGGCGTACAGGGAGCAAATCAAGTGTTGTAAGGACCAAATCGAAGCCTTGAACAGTCTCTCCTACAGGGTCTGGAGCATCAGCCAGGAGACCAGGCCTGTGCAGCTGCTGCAGGTAATGCTGGATTTCTGCCCTCATGGCGGCCACCCGCCACCCACCACCCACCACCCACATTTCTTCTTGGTTACGGTGGTATTGAACACAGTATTTACACAATGAGTAAATACACAGAAAGTTACCTTTTTAGCAAGTAGACTTTCTTGCCCCTATACAAGTGGTCAGAAAATATCCAGAGTTAGCCCTGGCCCAGCTGCTCAGTTGGTTAGAGCATCATCCCACTACACCAAGGCTGCGGTGTCAGTCTCTGGTCAGGCATGTGCCAGAAGCAACCAGTGAATGCATGAGTAAGTGTAGCAAAAAAATCAATGCTTCTCTTTTATCTCTATCTCTCTTTCTCCCTTCCTCTCTCTAAAAAGTCAGTAATTAAAAAAAACTTTTTAAAGAAAATATACATAGTCAGGAAGATAATACACATCTTGGACTAATGAAATAACACAGCCACCAGTTTTGAGGGCCTCTGTATTCTAAGCACTTTGTGTCTTAACTTTAATACTACTAGAAGTCTGCAAAGTGGATATTCTCACTCCACTTTACAAATGGGAAACTGAGGCTCAGGAAGGTGAAGTGACTCACTCATTGGAGGTCCCACAACTGGTAGGTGGCAGCACTGGGACCAGAACCCGGTTTCTCTGACTTGAAAGCCACAAAGCATCATTGTCTGGTCCTCTACCTATATAGTCGTCATTGAGACGCCCCTACTGGAAAGGCAAGTGTCCTGCCAGTACTGAGCAGACCTTGAGCTGGGTCACAGTTTGCTCAAAAGGGAGAGAAAAATGGTACTCCTTGACCCCTGGGCACTATTGAGGTCATTACCTTCTACAGAGGGAGAGTCTAAGAAATAGCCCCGATGATGCTCATACTACACATAAGGAAAGCATGCGTTGAGGGTGGTGTTCCCGTCTTTAAGGGACCAGGGGAGTCCTCTCTCCTGCCAATAATCCTGTGCATCACCTGTGCACTTGGATTGCTTTCCACTCCTATAACTCTTTCTGTCCCTTCTTTGCTATGGCTTCTGGGAAGCTCAGAGCCAAATATTTTTGCAATAGCTGGGCTATTGACTTTATGGCATATATTTTGTGCCTTATCTCACTCTGGCTTCCAGTTTACATTCTTATCCTGGTTTCCTCTTTAATTCATTTTTCTCACTGTAAAGACAAATCTTGCTATATTAGATAGCCTTTGTAAGATACTTCAAAAGCTTCTGGAACAAGACAGGATACAATTAAATAAAGGTGGCACTGAGTCTAACCACAGATTAACAAGGGTTCTGGCTGGAAAATAACACAAATAAGTCAGTCAATACAAAACCAGTCAAGCCAGTCCCTGGGGGATATTTCCACTCTTGTGCCTTTATGTGGCCTTGGTCAACTCACCTGTGTCTCGTTGTTAGCTAACAAAAAATAAACCTGAACAGACACAGACAACAGCATGGTGATTACTAGAAGGGAAGGGGGGCGGGGGGAAGTAGAAGAGGGTAAAGGAGGGATAAATGGTGATGGAAGGAGACTTGGCTTGGGGTGGGGAATACACAATACAATATACAGTTGATGTATTATAGAACTGTACACCTGAAACCTATGTAATTTTATTAACCAGTGTTACCCCAATACATTCAATTAAAAAAAAATAAACCCAGCAAAAAGTTCTGGGTGAGGTGCTGTCTTAGGCACAGAAGTTACTGTACTTTGATGCACAAGGGGTACATCTGTTTGTTTCTATTTATTTATTTATTATTATTGACACTGTTACAAATGTCCCGCATTTCCCCTTCTTGCCCCTTCTATCCAACCCTCGCCCCCACACCGCTGCCTTAACTACATTGTTGTCTCTGTCCATGGGCCTTGCATATGTGCATATATGTTCATTGGCTAATTTCTTCCATCCCCCTAATCCCCTCTCCTCTGGTCACCGTCAGTCTGTTCCATGTGTCCATGGCTCTGGTTTTATTTTGTTCATCAGTTTATTTTGTTCATTAGATTCCACATATGAGTGAGATCATATGGTATTTGTCTTTCTGGCTGGCTTGTTTCATTTAGCATAATATTCTCTTGGTCCATTGTTTCAAAGGGTAAGAGTTCCTTCTTTTTTACAGCTGCATAGCATTCCATTGTGTAAATGTACCATATCTTTTTTTTTTTCATTCATCTACTGATGGGCTCTGGGGCTGTTTCCAGATCTTGGCTATTGTAAATAACGTTGTTATGAACATAGGCTGCATATATTCTTTCTGACTGATGTTTTGGGATCCTTAGGATATATTCCCAGAAGTAGGGTCACTGGGTCAAACAGAAGTTCCATTTTTAGTTTTTTGAGGAGACTCTGTACTGCTTTCCACAGTGGCTGCACCAATCTGCAATCCCACCAACAGTGCACAAGGGTTCCCTTTTCTGGATGTTTGTTTCTTTTAAATAACAGTACCCCTGAGGAACAGCTAATTCAAAGGGATGCTCCATGGAGAAGAATGTTCTTCTTCCATCACAGATACAGTTTCAAGGCTTTGTCATTTATTTTTCTTTACTCTCTGGTGCCAAAGCTACAGATTTTCATCATTCATCATTCCATTTGCTCATTCATTTATTCATCAAATATTCACTGAGCAACCTGTTCTGCACCAGGCCCCAGCTCAACATTAGTAGCTCATGGGTGGGGAGATGTGCTCAGAAACAGGTATTTACAACACAGCCCAAGTGAGCCAGAAAAAGTGTGTTCAGGAAATGTCCAGCTGTTTAGGGGATCAGGAAAGACTTCTTGGAGGAGGTGATGTTGGAGCAGGGCATATACAGAAGGACAAGCAGAAAGGACATTCCAGACAGAACAGAACCATGTGCATGTGAGAGCTTGGCAGGCTGGAGAACCACCTAGGTTCAGCCTGCTGGGGGCGGGGGCAGGGGTACAAGGCCAGGGGAGTTGGGAGATGAAGCTGGTTCGAGAGGCCAGGGTTAGTTGATGAAGTGCCTTATGTACCTGGCCAGGGAGCGTAGACTTTGTCCTGTACAGAGATGGGGCCAGGGGGTTGTTTGGAACTGAGGGATGACATGGTCAGGTTAATGTTTTGGAAAGGTCACTTTGGTGGAAGGTTGGAGGATGGACTAGCTGGGCCAGGACTGGAGGCTGAGGGAAGTTAGGAGACCACAGTGTCCAGGAGAGAGACGATAGTGGGCTCCAACTCCCTGGCCAGCTCCACTCCAGCCCTCTGAGTGCCACCTTCGCCCTGGTCCCTCACAGATTGTCTTCTTCCCCACCAAAATGAGGATGAACTCTTGACCACAGTTCCCAGGGAGGACAGGGCTTGGGGACCATCTCACAGCCCTCTCCCAGGGTCCAGCCCAACAGCCTGGGGTCTGGGCCACCACCCTGCCCTCCTGAGGCATCCTTCTGCCCACTAGCCAGGGCCTTGCTGTCTCATAACTCCTTGCCCAGGACAACCCTTCAGAAAGTGCAGATAGGGTTTTAGCTGCAAATAAGAGCATCCACTGTAACGGTCTGAAACAAGAAAGGAGTTTATGAAATCGCATTAGGCAGCTCATGGGATCTCCAGGAGGGCCAGTCAGGATGAAGGCCAGTCGGCCTGAGGGAAGTCCTGCCGTGGCACAGGCGTGCTCCAGGGTAGACCCCACTGCTTCTCTGCTGAGCCAGGCATCACAGCGGGCACCCCTCACTCTGGCCCTGGCCCGGAGCCTCCACCACCACTGTCCCCTACCTGTTGTCACGACTTCATCTCATATCTCCACACGCAGGTCTTGGCTTGGAGGTGCCTCGTCACAGGGCTGCCCCACGGGTGCAAAGGAGGTGTGGAGAGGGCGTTTTCTAGCTTTTAATTAGCAAAGCCGCACTTAACACGGGAAGGGTATTTAAAAGGTGCTGTTCAGGCAGAAAACGAAACGGTCTCCACCGTAGTGGCCACGCCCCCTCAGGCAGGATTCCCTCTGAACTTCCAGGGGCTCCTTCCCCAGGAACACTGGCCCCTCCCTCTTTTTGTCCCCCTGCACCTCAGGCAGACCTGTCACATTGTCTGTAAAGCTTCAGAGCCCCTTTCCATGTGAAGGGCAGTCATTGTGCCCGCGCTAAAACAAGACTTCTGCGTGTCTTCCTTTGCAGGAACCTGCTGGGCGGGGCCTGCTCCGGGGGGCGTGTCCCTGGGCTGACCCTGGGGGACGGGGGTGGGGGACGGCGGGGGCCGGGGGGATGGCGGGGGCGGGAGGGCCTGCCTTGGATGGCCCGAGTGTGTTCCTGGTGCTGCTGTGGAGCCCCCTGACCCCTCCTCCCCGCGCCTCCCTCCACCTGTGTGCCTTTGTAGGAGTTCACAGCTGCTGAGCCGGAGATGAAGAAGCACATGAGCTTGGGGGAGCAGCGCCACCCCGTGCCCCAATCCTTCGAGCCCATCAAGACCTTCTTCAAGGGCCTCGTGGAAGCCATGCAGAACATGATGCAGATGCCACTAGAAGTTCGCTTGAAGGAAAGTAAGTCACCATGTGACAACTTTGTGTCCCTTACTCCCTGAATGTCCTTTAGCCCAGAGACAACTGAGGAGACCGCCACCGCGAATCGTGTCTCTCCCCTACAGAGGCCCTTGGTTGGGAGGTCCAGGGCGCCCGGGCCTGTGCCCAGCCCACCCTTCTTCGTTCACGTTCACGTCCTGCCCCTCCTGAGATCCTGTTCCGCCTCCCGAAGCCACTGCTCTGCTCCTGCCCGCCAGCTGCTCCTCGGATTCTGCTTCACCTCTGCTTTGCCTGCTCCGGGGTCCCCGCGGAATGGCCCACTCCTTCTGCTCTTCCTCTGCCGGGTCAAGTCCGACTGCCCCTGTGGGCCAGCACAGCTCTGCTCACCCGAGAAGCTTTCTACGCCACCTTGGGCTCACTCTCTCCCCGACGTCTACCCTTCTGCCCCTCCTCTCCAGGGCTGTCCCCTCTCCTGCCTGGGGATGTTCTTAAGCTGGATGCATGGATTCCTCCCAGCCTCTTACAAATATCTGGAGGACAAGAACCATTTTGGGTGCAGCCGTGAGGTTCCTGCCAGGCCTAACCCAAAGCAGGTGCTCAGAAATGTGTTTGTTCGTTCATTCATTCGTTCATCTCTGCTATTATGATTCATTCGGAATATTTATGGAGCCCCTATTATGTGTCAGACACAGCTTCTGGCTCTGTGGTGCTCAGTCTTTTGTGCGGGAAGACAGACAACAAAGGAACACATGCCAGTGATAAGTGCTCTGAAGAGAAATAAAGCAGGTTAAGCAGGATACAGGGTGACCAGGAGGAGGAGACATTTTATTCGGGGGTCTCTCTAAGAAGAGGCTGAAGGAGCCCTCTGTAAGCTCTGCAGAGCTGAAGGGCTGGAGAACATAAGGGTCCCTGCATTGCTCTGAAGCCAGACTGCCTGGGTTCCTCTCCCAGGCCCACCACTGCCCAACCCTGCCGTCCTGGGTAAAGCACCTCGCTTTTCTATGCCTCTGTTTCCACACCCATGACACGAAGATGATAATATAGTCCCCCCTCCTAGGGTTATTGTAAGGATTAAATGAGTTCTTACAAGCAACGTGCTTAGAGTGCTGGTCAAGCCTAATAAACACTGTACTAAGTGTTAGCTGCTGTTGTTGTTCTTGCATCTGGGGGAAACATCTAAGCAGAAGGAAGAGCATGTGCCCAGGGCCCAGAGTGAGGGAAGACCGTGAAGAGTTCTGGGCACAGAGAGGGGGCCATAGTGACGGGAGAACAGTGGTGGGAGAGAAGGTGGAGGAACTTGGATGCTACCTTGTCAAATGGGGCTGGCAGGGCAGTGCAGGCTCTGAAGAACAAGAGAAAAGGCGAAGGAAAGGGATGTGGGGGCGCAAAGCAGAAATGCTGCAGGCGTCCACTGAGCACCTCTGGGAAACGGAATGAGGTGAGGCCAGGCCCTGGCTACAGAGCAGCCTGACTTCATGAAGAGAGCCACAAAAGAAGTCCCAGCCAGACGCCCGGGGAGCTCAGACAAAGGAGAGAGGGATTCCCATGGGAAACCGGAAAGCCTTCCTGGAGCAGCTGGCACTTAAGTTGGGCCTTAATCAATCACTCAGACTTAGAGAGTGGGAGAGAACCAGGAAGGGCATTTCAGACTAAGACAAGAGAACACAGTTTACGACACCGTGATGCATGCATGCAGCGGGGCTGGGCAGTGGATTTTCTTGAGCTGGTTTGTCAAAGCAGATTTTTAATGGTGGGTGATGTTCTCCTTGTTTATAACTTCCACTGGAATTTTGAAAACACAGTTCAACTGAAAAATTCTTCTTCAGATAAAATTATTTAAAAAGAAATGCATACACCAGAATGGTAGCAGTCAATATATTTCAATTAAACAAACAAAACAATAAATACTTAAATATGAAAGGAAAAAAAAAAAGAAGAAACTTAGCAATCTGCCCTGGCTAGTGTGGCTGCATGGATTGAACACTGACCTGTGAACCAAAAGGTTACCAGTTCTATTGCGAGTCAGGGCACATGCCTGGGTTGCCCGTCAGGTCCCCAACTGGAGACGTGTGAGAAGCAAATGATCACTGACTCTCTCGCACATCAGTGTTTCTCTCCGTCTCTGTCTCCCTGTCTTCTCCTCTCTCTAAAAATAAAATCTTAGAAAACAAACAAGCAAACAAAAAAAAACAACAGGAGTTGGCTCCAGGAAGCTTTGGGCTTGTCAGCATCCAGTGAGTGGTCATTGAAGTCCCCTCCTACTACCCCAGCAGGCAGATACTCAGGTGGTCCCACAATGCAGTTGACTCATACTTACGTTCTCCCTGGTCCATCCCCAAAGAACTGGAGGTGCCCATGGAGTGCCTGATAACAGCTACCATTTGCTCTGTGCCGGACATTGCTCTAAGCACTTTACACAGATTGACCCGGCAACTCTTCACCACTACGCTGCATGGTGGGTGGCTTCATTATCCCCATTTTACAGATGAGGAAGCTGAGGCTCAGAGCTGGTAGGGATAGAGACAGAATTCAGACTCTAGTCCCAGGGTCTGTTTTGTGATCCCCGGGGGTCTGCTCCCTCCCAGGCCATCGCCCCTCGCCCCCCTCAGACGAGGCCATCCTTCTTACCATCACAGGTCATACTGAGTGGTGCTGACCCCCGGGAGGCCCCAAGGAGACGGGGCCGTACGGCGCCACTGCCCTTCCAGGGCCCTGCCCCACCTCTCCGCCCGTGTGTTCCACAGACACAGACATGGCAGGCTCAACAGGCCGAAATGGAATCCTGCCTCCCCCCGCCCCTGCCCAGCTGCTTCTTGACTCCAATCTGCTCCTCATTCCCCACTCCAGCAATCAGTGAGGCCCTGGCATTTCCGACACTGCGGTGTTCCCTGAGCCCAGCCCCTCCTCCGTCCCTGCTGCCCCTGTTCAGACCTCAGTCTCCCAATGGGGCCACTGCCTCCGCTCTCACCCTGTCCTCCCATTTCTCACCAGTGAGAGCTTTGGCAACTTTTCTGTTCATGTCTATCCTCACTCAGATACCTTTTCATGGATCCTCACTGTTGACTTGCCACTCCTAGCCTCCCATCCTTTTTCTGGGTGCCTGCATCTTCCCGCTCCTTTAGTTGTCAGCTGAGGTGCTTCCTCCCCTACGAAGCCTTCCCAGACCCCTCCAAGCCCCGGAGCCCTTTCACCTCTCTCCTCTGCGACTGGGAGCACTCTCGGCCTTGGTTGGTAGGTCCAGTTTCTCACCCCACTGAGCTGACTGAGCTGTTGCAGACAGGGACCATGGCTTGAGTTCCCCCTGAACTCCCTTTCTCTTGAATGAGATTTGAACATGGCCTTTCTCAGGACTCACCTTTAATTTCTTGTTTTCCATCTTTATCCAGGGTCTTGGGTTTCTGTTATGAGGTTGCCCCGTCATTGACTGTTGAATACATAGTTGACTCTCAGGATGGGCCTGAAGCCTGCTGTCTCATCCCCATATTCAGGGCTCACTCACACTGCCCTGCCATGGCTGAATTTGCCTCTGACCCTGGAAAGTACATTTTTTTCTCAGATCTGAGCATTGTTCTGGAACTTTCCTGGGGCTGTGAATTCACTTTTCTACCTAAAATTTGCATGTGATTCTTGGAGAGAGATTATGTGAATCTCCAGTTCTATTCGGTTGGCCGAAAAGTCTATTTAGTGTTTTTTATAAAATAAAAGACACATTTTTCATTTTCACCAATAACTTTATTGATTTGGATATTTTGAGTATGTCGGCTATCTCCCACTATTGGCTTCTAGTGGGTAAAGTCCAGGGGTGCTGTAAACCTCTTCCAGTGTGTAAGACAGCCCCGCAGCAAAGAATTATTTGGCCAAAATGTCAATAGTACCAAGAAACTTCGCAAACCACTTTTGACACGTTTGCATCAGTCACAACCCCTTCTGCATACACTGCACAAATCTTTTTTGTGTGTTTCAGTTGTCCCACATCTTCTTCCATCTTCAATATTAAAATGGCTGCCTAAAAATTCACCAATTTTGATGTTTTTATAAAATGCACACTGATATGACAGCTGACACAATACAATCTAACAAAATTGTTTTGAATGAAGTTAAAGACAACTAAGCACTACTAGAGCCATCGTACAGAAAAACTAAACGAACTTTTTGGCCAACCCAGTGTAATATTTTTTAGCATGTTTTATAATTTGTGCTGCTTGAATGAGCACTGGGCACTCATTTTTCGCACTTCATTGCAGACATGAGCTGCCAGCTCTCCGGCTTCTCTAGCACCAGGCCAGATTCCGTGTTGAAAATCCTTCCCTCACCAGAGCGCTCGTTCTTCTTAAAATGTAAGCCCCCCTAGAGTGGAGAGGGTGGGGTATGTGGGTGGGAGGGGTGTCACAAAAATGGAGCCCCCCCTTTTTCCCCTAAGAGACCCAAATTGTTTTTCTAACCTTTATTATTAGTTTTTTAAAAATACAGAAATATGTCCACTGTAGAAAAATTTGAAAACAGAAGAAAGCAAACATTGAAAAATCACTCATAAATCACTGGAGGCTTTGGAAACGCTTCTGCTCATATCTATCCTCGTAGATATGAAGTAGTAGGTAACTACTATCATTTGCCCTTTTAGCTTTCTCTGGCATATCTCAATATATTTACTGTATTTTTTTCAAACATGGTATCATACTATAAATACTATTTTGTAACCTGTGTTTTCATTTACTGATATAATATGAACATATTTGTTTACTTAAAAAATTACACTAGCTGGTAATTTTTAAAATTACACTAGCTGGTGTGGCTCAGTGGATTGAACGCTGGCCTGCAAACAGAAAGGTCACCGGTTCAATTCCCTGTCAGGGCACATGCCTGGGTTGTGGGACAGGGCCCTGGGTGGGGGTGTGAGAAAGGCAACTGATCGATGTTTCTCTCACACATCAATGTTTTTTCTCTCTCTCTTTCTCCCTCCCTTCTCTTCTCTATAAATAAATAAATAACATCTTAAAATTAAAAAAAAATTACACAGGTAATGGATTCTTCTTGTAAACATTAGAAATCAAAGATAGACAAAAAGAAAACAATTGCTTCTCCCATAGATAAATGCTGTTAATATTTTGGCATATATTTTTTGGATACTTTAAAAGTTTGTATGTGTACAGATTTTTTAAAAAGGATTATATTATAGATGTTATTTTATAAATTTAAAAAATTTAACAGTATAGCTTGAAAAATTTTCTATTTCAATAAAAATATTGTTATTTTTAAAAGATGAATATTATTCCATTGAATGAACATGCCATATTTAACTAATATTATAATGTTGAACATTTAGGCTGCTTTTCATCTTCTTTTCTATAAACAGTGCTGCAATAAACATGGATTGGTTGGTTGCCTCTCACATACCCTTAACCAAGAACCTGACCTGAAATACAGGCAGATACCCTGACCAGGAATCAAACCAGTGATCTTAAGGTTCACAGGCCGGAAGCAATCCACTGAGCCCCAACAGTCAGGGCTTTATACCCACTTTACGCAACATTGTTCTACATGTCCTAGACAGTGCCTTGAAGCAAGAAAAAGAAATAAAAGCTGTAAGTATTGGAAAAGGGAAAAAAAGATTATGCATAGATGACATAGTCATTTACAGAATGTACCAAATAATCCACAGATTAATTAGAATTGATAAGTACGTTTAGAACAGCTGCTGGATGTAATGTCAGTATAAAAAAAAATCATAATGCTATATACTGACAATAAACAATTAGAAAATAAAAATTTAAAAACAGTATTTTCAATAAGACTTTTTTAAAAACCAAGAATAAATCTTTAAGTAAGTACAGTTTATGTAATTATTCCTCAATAAAGTTGTTAAAAACTGTAAAAAAGAGGACTTCTGGTCAAGACGGTGGTGGCATAGGCAGACGTGGCGCTCTACTTGGCACAAGAACATCAAAATTGACAACTAAACTACAGAATCACCATCACTCAGAGCCATCGGAAATCCAGTTGAATGGAAGTCTGACAACTATGGATTAAAGAAACCACATCCATCCAGACTGGTAGGAGGGGTGCAAATGTGGAACGGGCTTGTCTTTCACCCTTGCATGGTGGATAAAAATTCAGGAGGGATATCTCAGGAGTGAGAAGTCCCAGGCCTATACCAGGTGCCCCAGCCCAGCGTCCCAGTGCCAGGAAGGTAAGTCCCCACAACTTCTGGCTGCAAAAACCAGTGGGGATTGAGTCAGTGGAAGAAACTTCTGGAATCCCAAGCAATTCCTCTTAAAGAACCCACACACAGGCTCATGTACTCAGACTCACTCCCTCTGAGCTCCAGCACTGGGATAGCTGCTTGACAGGCTCCAGTGGCACAGAGGGAGAAACTAAAGTGTCTGGCGTCGGGATGAGCTGGGGCCATTGTCTCTTTTCTGAACCCGCCCCCCAACAGACCTGGCAAGCTGGTGCTATGTCTGAGACTCCATCAACCTGGATAACATCGTTTGCCCCACCTTAGAGATACCCAGAGACTCTGTCCCACCCAAGCTGCTTTTCTATATGAATGGCTTGTTTTGGCTCATGCTTCACAACGTCCTAAATCCTCTTAAACAAGCAACAACTGGTCTCAGTGAGCCACAGATCTGGCTTTGCCTGGGAATCTCCACGCCCAACACAAGTAGCACCATGTCAGATTGCTTCATAGCTCAGGCAGGATGGCCCTGGGAAAAACATAGGTGGGGGCTGACCTTGGCCTGCACCACCTGGGAAACACCTGGGCCAGCGCACCAGTGGACAGCTGCAGACCACATCGGAGCACAGCCACCCTGCCCCTGCACAGCTGATCCTCCACAGAGGGCAGAGGTTTGTGGTAATTGATCACAGCCAATCCTTGCAGTGGACTGGCCTGGGTAAATCCATAAAATTGATCTGCCAATAGGAACCAAGACTCAACTACAAGAGGAAGGTGTGCTCAGCCCACACAAAGGGCGCATCGCGAGTACCCAACATGGATAATAGGGGAGGCTGTGCCACTGGGCCCTATGAGACGCCTACTACATTAGGTCACACTCCCAAGACAGGGAGTCATAGCAGCTCTACCTACTACATAGAAACAAACACAGGGAGGCTGCCAAAATGAGGAGACATGACCCAAATGAAAGAACAGAAAAAAAAATTCCAGAAAAAGACCTAAATGAAATGGAGATAAGCAATCTATCAGATGCAGAGTTCAAAATACTGGTTATAAGGATGCTTAAGGAACTTCATGAGGCCCTCAATGGAATAAAAGAGATCTAGTCAGAAACCAATGACATGCTAATTGAAATAAAAAAATAACTTACAGGGAAACAACAGTAGAGTGGATGAAGCTGAGAACCAAATCAATGATTTGGAACATAAGGAAGCAAAAACAACCTATCAGAACAAGAAGAAAAAAGAATAAAAAGAAAAAGAGGATAGTGAGGTAGTATAAGCAGCCTCTGGGACAACTTCAAGGGGCTCGACATTCACATCATAGGGGTGCCAGAAGGAGAAGAGAAAGAGCAAGAAATTGGAAACTGATTTGAAAAAATAACGAAAGAGAATTTCCCTAGGTTGGTGAAGGAAATAGACATGCAAGTCCAGGAAGCACAGATAGTGCCAAACAAGATGGATGCAAGGAGGCCCACTCCAAGACACATTGTAATTAAAATGCCAAAGGTTAAAGATGAAGAGAGAACCTTAAAAACAGCAAGAGAAAAGAAGTTAGTTACTCACAGGGGAGCCCCCATAAGACTGTCAGCTGATCCCTCCAAAGAAACTTTGCAGGCAAGTAGGGATTCGCAAGACATATTCAAAGTCATGAAAAGCAGGGACCTACAGCCAAGATTGCTGTACCCAGCAAAACTATGATTTAGAATCCAACGGCAGATAAAGAGCTTCCCAGAGAAGAAAAAACTAAAGGAGTTCATCATCATCATACTATTATTAAATGAAATGTTAAAGGGACGTATGTAAGAAAAAGTAGAAGATCAAAACTATAAATAAAATAGCAAAAAATTGAATCTAAAAAACAAACTAAGCAAACAAGAACAGAGACAGAATCATGGATACTAAGAGCGTTCTGATGGTTGCCAGACGGGAAGGTGGTGTAGGGGAATGGGTGAAGAGGCAAGGGGATTAACAAGTACAAATAGGTAAGTTACAGAATTGCCCTGGGGATGTAAAGTACAGTATAATGAATGGAGTAGCCATAGAACCTACACGTGACCCATGGACATGAACAATGGTGGGGGGGTTGCCTGAGGGAGTGGAGGTGCTGGGTGTAGAGGGCCAAAGGGGGAAAACCCAAGACAAGTGTGATAGTATAATCAATTAAATATAATTTTAAAAAACTGTAAAAAAAAATCTAAGTGAAAAAATTTCTAAGCCAGCCAATTGCATATACCATGAACTGTTATGTTCCATCTTATTTAGAACCTTAAATAAATTGATATGATGTTACACTAAAATGAATAAATAAGTTATTTTGAATTTGGAACAGAAAAAAAAAAGCTAGGAATATATCTAACAAAGATGTGTAAAATCTCTACCAAAAACTCCAAAATATTACGGAGAAAACTATTTGGCAGCTGAGAAAAGCTGAACATCCATATACCCTACAATCTATAATACCTTTTTTTAAACTTTATGTCAACATATGTGGTATAATGTAACGAGAACTATTATTGGGAGTTTAATCATTACCACTTTTCTGGAGAGCAAATCAGCAGTATTTACTAAAGGCCTTAAAAACAATCATCCCTATTGACCCAAGCAGTTCCTCTTTTAGGAATATAGCCTAAAGAAATAAGCAGATACACAAAGATGTAATACTGTTTTCAAAAGCTTTTCAGAAAGCCTAAATATTAAAGAGGGGGCATAGTTTTAATTATAATGATCCATACTTAAAAATTTAGGTTCTGCCCTCGTGGGTGTGGTTCAGTGGATTGAGTGCTGGCTGCAAACCAAAGGGTCGCTGGTTCAATTCCCAGTCAAGGCACATTCCTGGATTGCAGGCCAGGTCCTCAGTAGGGGGCACAGGAGAGGCAACCACACATTGATGTTTCTCTCTCTCTTCCTCCCTCACTTTCCCTCTCTCTAAAAAATAAAATCTGAAAAAAGAAAAAAGTTTTTCCATTAAAATGCTCTTAAAAAGAATACTATTTGATGTGATAAAATGTTCCAAAATACATCAGTACATATAAAAAAAGACATTGTCCAAGAACATGTATGGTATGATACCAATGTTCAGGAAAGCTATAAAGCATTAAGTAGAAATATTGGAAGAATATACTCCCAAGTGTTACCAGTCATGGATTATATTTTGGTTAAATTTTTAGAAATTGGCAACAAATTCCATGGTCCAAAATTTAGATGATACAACGAGTGTACAGTAAAATTTGCTCCCTTCCCATGGTCCTCCAGCCACCTCCCTGGAGGCAATCAGGGTTAAAAGGGTGGCTCTCCATTTCTCCGTGGGCAATTTCTGGGTTTTGCCATTTTCTGTTGTGAGCATGCGTAGGTCCACCAGCACAAGCCAGTGGGGTTCCCGGGGGCGGGGCGCAGCGCTGGCCCCGCCCACCAGGCCTGGTGCGGTGTTTCGGTTCTCTGCAGATGCGCGCACGCCCACGCTGGAGCCGGACACAATGCACGCGCGCCTGCGCCTCTCGGAGGACCTCCTGACAGTGAGATGCTCCCTCTTCCGCCGCCTGGGGCCTACGCCCGCGCTGCGTTTCGACGAACTGTGGCAGGTGCTGGGCCGCGACTGCTTTGCCTCCGGCCGCCACTACTGGGAAGTGGACGTGCAGGAGGCCGGCTGCGGCTGGTGGGTGGGCGCGGCCTACCCCACCTTGCGGCGCCGCGGCGCCTCCGCCGCAGCCCGCCTGGGCTGCAACCGCCAGTCCTGGTGCCTCAAGCGCTACGACCTGGAGTACTGGGCCTTCCACGACAACCAGCGCTGCCGTCTGCGGCTCTGCCACGACCCCGACCGTCTGGGCGTCTTCCTAGATTACGAAGCCGGCATCCTCGCCTTCTATGACGTGTCGGGCGGCATGAGTCACCTCCACACTTTCCGTGCCGCGTTCCAGGAGCCGCTCTACCCTGCCCTGCGGCTCTGGGAAGGGGTCTTGAGCATCGCCCGGCTGCCCTAGGGGCTGTGATTGCACTGACAGCCCTGGGCTTTCCAGGACGCTGGTCACACCCGACCCAGACGTGGGTGGCCCACTGCCTACTCTCTAAGCACACCCATCGTCTTCCCCACCAGTCATGCCTTGTGCTTTAAGAGTTCTCTCCTCGGCTGGTTTCAGACAGGCCTTAAACACAGGTCCTCTGCTGCTGCTCTCTCATCAGACCTCCCCATCACTGCCACAGCACTTAACACTACTCTGCTTTCAGCCACAGTTCTGGAAGGACACACTCGCAGGTGAGTCCTAAGCATCCTGACCAACCACACAATACATCATCCTTAGTCTCAGACCTCTTCCCTCATACAGAAGCCAGAACCACCTGGCACATAGTAGGTGCACAATAAATACGTGAATGAATGAGTCCCTCAGATCTGCCTCTTCCTCTGCACTCTACTTCAGCTTGTCTACGATTTCTCCCTTCAGAGTGGCATCAAGGGCCTCTTAGTGGCACCTGGCCTGAACCCCCTCCCATCCTCCTCCGCCTGTAGCCATGGCGATGTGCCCAAAACCACACTTAACCTCTCAGAACGATGAAAAAGTTCCTAGGATGACAGGGGAGAAAGCACTTCCCCTCACCTTGGCATCCAAGGTTTTCCTAGTCTGCCCCTAAGCTGTTTCTCAGCTAGCTTCTACAGCTCTTTCCAGAGAACCTGCCATCAGAGCTCTGTGTCACACAGCTGACCCCTGTGCCTTTGCAGGGGTCCTTTCCCCCTGCCCCATGCACAGGTATATAGGAAAGCCTTTCTTGCCTGCCTCAGTCTTCCCCAGGTTTAACTGCCCCGAGGAAGTCTCCCCCAAGCCACAAGAATCTCTTATGAGCAGGACCACCAACCTGGGACCCGTCTTTCCAACTAGATTGGAAGCTTTCTAAGGGCAGCTATGTCCTACACTCCCCACCCTGAAAAATTCAGTAAGTCCCTGTGCTCCCAGAAAGTGAATAGCCAGCAGCTTGGCTTTCACTGAATCACAGAGAAACTGAGCTGGGAGAGCCTCACAGATCACCCAGCCTGACCTCATTGCACATTTGGGGAGACTAAGGTCTTGACCTGAAAGAAAGTTGCTTAAAGTCACCCAGGCATGTATCTGATTTGCCTTTGGGCCTAGTCCTTCAGGCCCAGACTTTAATGTGGGAGATTTTTCCTGCTTATTTCTTGGGATGTTGGGAAGAATCAGCAGGTGGTAGTTGCTAAGCAACCACCTGCAGTTTTCCTCTGTCTTAGAATCCAAAGGAAAAGAGCTGTGAGTAGAGTTTGGGCAGCCCATTTACCCTATGCTCAGATGCAGATGTTGCCAAGGAAACCCATAGAGCCCCATTTTCCAGAAAGAAGAGACAGAAATGGAGATGGCAAAACGAGCAGGGCCTCACAGGTACGCCCGCTCTCTAGCAGGGAAGGAAAGGCCTTTTTCTAGGGCCTGTGCCTCAAGTTTTGAAGGTTCAGTATCCTGATTTGTCCAATTCCCTACACAGTTTTTAAGTGACACCATTTTAAAAGTATCTGGTTAGGTGCTTGACAGGAGGACTGTGGTAGGGTGAAGAAAATGCAAAGCTGAAATCTCCCTCACGGTTTCAACAGACTCTCAGTGCATTAGTTTGAACCAGGGGTGTCCAACCCATGGCCCACCGGCTGCCTGCGGCCCAGGGTGGCTATGAAGGTGGCCCAACACAAAATCGTAAGTGTACTTAAAACATTACTTAGTTCTACTACTAAGATATGTACATTTTCTATATTAGTGATCATAAACTTGGGACCTGCTCGACCATCTTAAAAGATTACTAAAAAGGCCGCTGCATAATTAGGGTTATGATGTGAGGACTTTTTTGCTTATCTGTGGTGACAGCATGAAAATTATGCACAGACTTTCTTTTTGCTCATCAGTTTTTGTTTGTGTATTTAATATGTGGCCCACGGATGCCATAAGGTTGGACACCCCTGTTTTGAACCATAAACCGCAAATTTCCAACAGCTTTTGACATAAAAATGGCACTTTTGTATAGGGTATTGTAATATACATAGAATACAAGGCAGAAGAAACCTCAAAAGTGCCTTTACATCTAACCCAATCATTTTAAACTCTAGCTTGGGTAGATGTCTAAGCACTATGCTCCAGAAATCCTGAGAAGAGAGAAATTAATTCTTTGGGGATGGCCCAGAACTGAATTCAGGCAGAGGGCATTCCTGACAGAGGAAGAGGGGTACACTGGCCCCTACACCTCTGTTCACCCCTGCAAATCGAGACTTGTTCCTAGACCCGGAGCCACAGGGGCCAAGTAATAACAGCCCTTGCTCTTTGCCAGGCAGTTGTAACGCATTACACCTATTAGTTCACTTGACCCAACCACTGCACATTCTCAGCCAGAGCCCAGGCCAGGCCCTCCATTCTCTTCCAAACCCACATCCTGCTTCCAGGCCCGGGAACACGTCCCTCCACTACCATGCTGTCTCTCCTTGTTAGGGCTCAGATATCTGCTTAAATGTCACCTTCTTGGCTGTTGTAGAAAAAATGCCATGGAATAGGACATTTTGATGGTCTATTCAAAGTCTCTTTATAGGGAAATTGAAAGGGAGAAAATATCAGTATCAGACAGAAATTGGTTATCACACTTTTAGTTCCTAGCACATCAATTTTACAGGTTTTCTTTTACACGAGTACAACCCAGGATTCCTATCCCACCCCATCCACACATACAGCATGAGTGCCTTTCTAGAAACTGTTTTGGAATCTACAGGGGAGGGAGGCTCTATACTCACAAGTAAAATTTCGAAAGCTAATTTATGTATTTGAAAAGAAATTCAAATGTGTAGTTTGAAACAAGAGGAGTTATAGTAAGCAAGGTCAAATGTGTACAAAGAATTTGAAAATACATTTGAAAAAAATCATTACTCTCTATTGGTTCATAAGAACAAAGAGGAATATGACATGAAATCTCCGTGAAAGGTTCAGGCTGCTGTTCAAGGCAGTATGACAATCTTATTAGCTGGCTTTATAATTTCATTATGCATTACAGAAGGACTGATTTCAGCACTACCACGTGATTCAAAGTCTCCACAACCTGCAAATACACCAAGCCCCACATTCCCTGGTTCTGTTTTTTTCCCCCATTGCACATGTCACCTTTTAACAAACTGTGATTTACTTACTATGCTCATGGTTTATTGTGTACCTGTCCCCATCTGAATGTAAAGTCCTGAAAAGAAGGGATTTGGGCTTATCCTCCGGACCTAAAACACAGTCTGGCACATAGCGGGCCCTCCGTATCTGTTGAAAGAAGTGAATGCCATTTCCTTCTCTTTTCTGAGAGGTGAGCACTTTAGGTATTTCTCTGTCTGCAAGACCCTTTGACCAACACCTTCTCGAATACCAAGTGATCACTCTACAGCTAACTGAAGACAGTTTTTGCTTTTGACCCCACATCCCCTGCTGGGCCAGCCAACTTGAAGCAAGAGATGGTTGTATTTGCTCTTTGTGCCCTTTCAATGGGCTTGACACAGGTCTTGGCCCCAAAATGTCTGCTCTCGGGGAGTGGGAGTGGATGAGAGCTGGGTCTCTGCAGACCACCGCTCTGTCCCACTCACCTGATACACCCAACAGTACCAGCAAGGCAATTCAGAATTCAAATAATGGCACTTTATTTTAAGACTTGATTTTTTTGCCATGATTGTCTACTGATTCTTCCATGATGGTGTCGTCTTCTTCAATAGCAACCAGGACCTTCTTGCCCACCAGATTAAAGATGTCTTCAGGAGGGTAGCCTTTGGGCTCACCCACCTTCACAGTGAGCATGTCCAGTGTTAGAATGGTGCCTTCTGGAATTTTCACTTTGGCCACCACAGACTTGCCCAGCTGTGGAAAAAGTTAAGAGTCAGTGTTAGTCTCACAAAAGTAACTAGCGCATGTTGCTTTACACTCAAGGTCCCTGGTCAGTCTTCACAAGGTACCTGAGAACAGGGGCCCCGTTTCCCCCACTGGATGCCTAGAACAATCATCTCTCACACAGCAGGGACTCGACCGGTGCGGGGTGAACTCAGATTCAGAGGCGGGGCCTTCACAATAAAATGCAAAGGAAAGGGCGCAGGTTATATCACCAAACAGAGCCAGGTCCAAATCCCAGTCAGCTGGTCCAAATCCCAGCTGTGGCTCAGTTTCTCTGTAAATGGGAAATAATAATGCTTCTATCTTATCAGATGACAATAAGGATTAGTGATAATATATGTAATCTACCTGGAACATAAAATCTTCCTGATAAATGAAAATTATATCATTTACTTTTGCCATCATTTAGTTTATTATCTCATTTCAAACATGGAGAAACTGAGGCTCAGGGAGAGCAGGTAATTTGGCTAAGTTTGCATGGAGCTGGAATGAGAACCTAGCATTTCTCATTCCTGGTCCACTGTTCTCAAGAGACATGAACTTTATGGCCACCTTGCTTAGTAAAATAGGAATATGGAGGTCTCACAAGACGGTGTATGACTGCTACTCAGAGGACCAGAAAGGGAGCCTCCTAGGACATGGCAGACAGGACAGGAGGGCGAGCAAAGTGAAGAATATGTGGATATCTGAAGTTCATGACCAGCATTTCTATGTCTCATCCACAATGCTGCTAAACAAACTATTTACTATATTCCTCTGTATTCTCCATGTAAGAGCCAAGGAATCAATTCTGGAATTTAGTACCGAGGCAAAACGTCTATCAATGAACAATGATCAGATTATACATCTTGTAATTTCACTGTTTGTTCAGGGAGCCAGAAGACTTAGAGCCAAATTAAGCACTCAGTTCTCATTCTGGTTTTTGGTACAATTCTCTCCCCGTTTCCTCTATCAGGCAGTTTGTTTCTTTTTGCTATTATTGTTATTCCTGGTGTCTATGTGTGTCTTTGATTCGAGGGAAGTGAGTGGGGGCCCACCAGGATAAAGGATGACGACACTCCCCATGCACACCTGGTGGTTGGTTTTTGCCTACACCCAGACAGCCCGCAGCAGATTAGGAGTGTCTGCACGCCCGCCAGCCCCGGGGCGCCCGGCTCTCTGACTCAGAGGCCAAGACGGGTCGAGGCCACGGCTTCCAAGAAGCCCAGATGGTCAGCGTGCCTGACAGTGTTCCTTGCCCTCACCATCCCCTCTGCCTAAAGGTCAATGCTACACAGCTCCAACTGCCCCTGAGGGAATACTTGCATCATTCCCTGACAACCCCTGTGAAAACCAGCCAGCCCTGTCCACCCAGTTCCTCCCCTGATTAGAGATACCACGATGTACCACAGGCCCTTCTCCCACTGCCTCATGGGACGCCCTCCTAACTGGATGTTTCTCAAGGCTTCCCCTCCAAGGGACCCCAGACTTGACCTGCCCGAGTGCCTCATGAGGTCCTTGGACACCACCCCCACCGCTTACGTGTCCTGGAGCCTGGAGCTCTGGGGCTGCACGCTTCAGAGACTCAGTGAGAAACTATAGCCCGATCCTCGGCCGCCAGAGGAACTGCCGAAGTGCCCTTAAGTAGACTGTTTCTCCCGCTGCTCATGAGAGCCAGAGAG